GGATGGTTGTTAGGTACATGCAATACCTTGCAGTGGTTCTCAACCTTCTGGCCCTTTAAATACAGTTCCTCATGGTGTGACCCAACCATAAAATTATTTTTGTTGCTACCTCATAACTGTAATGTTGCTACTGTTATGAATCGTCATGTAAATATCTGATATGCAGGATGGTCTTAGGCGACCCCTGTGAAAGGGTCGTTCGACCCCCCAAAGGGGTCGCGACCCACAGGTCGAGAATCATGCTTGTCCGAGCCTACTGCAGTGCCTGGAACAAAGAAAGAGCTCAATAATGCTGCTTATTAATATTCTTATCGTTATTATTTTCTACCAGGGCTGGTAGTAGCCACCCTGCGGTCCCAAGGGTCCCTCAGACCCCAAGCTCCCAGGGCCTTGGCTCCAGGCGCCTCTCCCCGCGCGGCCCCTAGAGGGCGCTCGGAACTCACTTGTCTCTGCGTGGAGGCCCCAGGTCCGGCTCCCACTTTGGGGGGCTGAGTCGCCGCCTCCGACTCCAGCTTTTGGGTCTTGAGACTCCTCCTGCAGGAACCGAAGATTCGTGGGCTCTGGGGCCACAGGGTGGAAAACGTGAGGGGCAGGAGCAGCTCCCACGAAAGCCTTAGGGCGACACTTGGCACAGGGGTCCTCGCCTCCCCAGGCTCTCCAGCACCTTCTCGCACCCACCGGAGACCGGATTTCCGTAGGCTCGCGGAGGCAGCGGCGGCGCCGGCCTTCTTAGGGTCCGTGGCCAGAATCCAGGGCGGTCCGTGGCCCCAAGCCCAGTCACAAGCTCGTGGGATGTGTGGCCGCCGGAGCTGCGGGGCTGGAAGTTAATGCGTTGGCCGAGAAAATCCCCACCCCAGACCCTCCTCCCTCGGGGATAAGGGAGGAGGCGAGAGAAAGCGGAGGAGGGGTGCCCGCGGAGGGGTGGCCGCGGGGTAACCGCGCGTAGGAGCTGGGGGAGAGGGGGCTGAGGGGGAAGGAACGCGAGCGTAATTGAAAATGCCCGCAGTGGGACTGTGTGCGTGTGTGCACCTAGCTCCCCACACCTGTAGCTCCCCTGGAGTCACGCGGCACACCCCATGCAGAAGGAGGCGTGCGAGGTGGTACACAGTGCAGGCTGTGAGTGAGGGGGTGTGAGTTGGCACCCACCCCTCACGACAACACCCCTCCCTCCACTCATCTCTCGTCCTCCCCCTCCACGAACACACCACCTTCCCAGTCCGCTCCTTGGAAATCCACACTGGCTCCAGTCCTGCCCTCCTTTGCTCGGTCTGTTCCTACCCGACTCCCGGGGTGAGGAATCCGGGCGTGGGTGCAGGTGAGTGGTGCAGAGGCTCCCCGGGCCCATGTGGGCAGCAGAGTCGTGCCATTCTGGAAAAGCCCCGGCAGCTCTGGTTAGCTGCCCAGACAGATGCCTGGCTGTGGGGCTCCAAACTCTGAGCTGATGAGGGAGTGCCCGGATGACGAGTTGCCGCCTGGGGCAGAACACGGGGGCGCGTGGGAGTGAGACGTGTGTGAGGGTGAGGAGAGCAGGAGGGAGCCCTGGGGCTTCCGCTTCTCCCTTCCCCAGCATGGCTGCCCATTCCCAGCTGCTCCCGCTCTGCACAGCCAGCAGGGAGGGCCCTGCTTCGTGGGCTCATACACCTGGAACCTGTTTCGCCCACCTGCAAGTCACTCGCACCGCAAATGAGGCCCTTCTGAGTCCCGGGCATAGGGCCACACCATACCTGCCGCCCTGGTGGGGGCATCACAAGAGAGGCCAGGCCCACACCGTCCCCAAGCACAGAGCCGGCACAAAGCCGCTATTATAGGTAACAGGTTGAGCCAGATTCTCTGTGGGCCTGGGAGGCCCCTCCGCTGCTAGGACCCCAGCCCTGCATGGGTTTCTGGGCCTCCACTGAAGCTCCCCGCTGGGCGCCCAGCGCTCACTCGTGGGGCATTTGGTCAGTGCGATCGGCTCACTCCAGCCCCCGAAGGAGGCCGGCCTCTCCGCCCAGGCAGGTTGGTTCATTTCCCTCCTTCCCCGGCACCTCTACGCACAATGATTCGGGTAATTCCTTTTCTGGTTTTGAACAGAGACCGGCCACTTCTGGCAGGCGCGTGGCAGCCGGAGTGGAGAACTCTCGCTGCGGGTCGTTGGCCCTGCCCGCGACCCTCGAAGCCCCTCCCCTCCAGCCTCGGCCCCAGGGACCGGGGGCAGCCCGGCCTTTCCCGGCTGCCGCGGCTGTCGGCGGCTGATGCGGGATTTGCCAAGATTCGGTCGCAACGAATTCCTGGCAAAGAGTGGAGAGTCTGGCGCGGTTCCTCAGCGCCGAGAGCCCCAGGGCCCCGGGGATCTGGTACCTCTGGGAGCCTCGGGGCATGTACACGTGGAAGGGAGACCCGGGCCACCAGCGAGCGCAGGGAGCGGAGCGGGGCGGGAGGTCCGCTGGCTGGATGGTCTGGGCAGCGGGAAGCCGCCTGCGCCCGCAGTAGGCGTGGGTAGGGAGCGGCAGCCCTGGGGATCTGGCCTGCGGGGTGCCCCCTTTCCTGCAAACTGGACAGGAGCCGCCGAGGGCCACCGGGCTGAGCGGTCTTTCCCCAGCCCGGGCAGGAGTGTGGATCCCAGCTATTTGTGAAAATGAGGAGGGAGGAGGTATTTGGGGGAGGAGGTGCCTTTTGCCTACTTTTGCTTGCATTTGTCTTGCAAAACGGGGAGAGAGGTGGCGGTGAAGAGCCCGCAGGACAGTTGTGTTTGGGCCAGGCAGCCGCTCCCCATTTTTGCCCCAGCTCCTCAGTTTGACTGTCGGAGGCCAGAAAATATCCAGGAGCCTCCGGGATATTTCCAGCAGCTTCTTGGGGGGGAGGGGGCAGGGATGGTTCCAGGGACTGGGAGATGGTAGGAAGGCCCCGGTCTCCTCCAGGTCCCGCGACTCTGCAGCTGGGAAGCACGGAAGGTATGTCCTAAAGGCCAGAAACGGAGGAGAACTCAGAACGAAAAGTGCAAAAAGTGGGGCTGGGAAGCTCCAGCACCGGTGAGAGGGGAGGAGACAGCTAGACCTGCCCAGGCAGAAGGAGGCAAATTCTACCGGGTTCCAGGAGGCCATTTCCAGATTTCGCTCAGCCAGGGTACTGGGTGCTGCAGCCACTGCAGGCCAGAGACCCACCACCGATATCATGACCAACAACACAGTCTGTCAGGGTCTGGCCTTGGTCACCCCCTGGGCCTGTAGGGTGGGAGGAAGAGGCTGGCCTACGATTGATTTTTGGATGCAGAATTCTGTCTTACAGAGAGCCAGCTCCAAGGGGGCCACAGCTGAGGGATGAAGACACGTGGTCTGTTCCCCACAAAGCCAATTTCCCCTTGGGCCTCCTTAGGTGGGAGGTTGCTATTCTTTGTCCCCATTTCATATGACATGTCCAGGATGGCAGCCTGATCAGGGATGAAGGACAGTGGCTCTCTGATGGTTTCCATGGCTCCCTCAACCCCAGCTCTGCGTGCACAAACATCCCCTTCCTCCCTCCAGAGCCTGCAGGTCCTGGCCCCCAGATGTTGCTCAAGCTCAGGCACCAGCAGCTGCCCTGGCAGCACCAGCTCACTTCTACTTTCTAGCCACCAAGTTCTCTCACTCTTCCACCCCAAAGAAAAAGCCTCCTATCTCCCCACTCCACTCCCCCAGAATGGTATGTTCCCCAGACCCTCCCCCACCTGGCTTTGTCCACAAAAGCAGGCCCAAGTCAATTTTATACACCTGAAGTTGGCCTAGTGCAGTGATGGAGAACCTATGACACGCGTGTCAGAGGTGACACGTGAACTCATTTTTTTTGGTTGATTTTTCTTTGTTAAATGGCATTTAAATATATAAAATAAATATCAAAAATATACATCTTTGTTTTACTATGGTTGCAAATATCAAAACATTTCTATATGTGATATGGCACCAGAGTTAAGTTAGGGTTTTTCCAAATGCTGATGTGCCAAGCTCAAAAGGTTCGCCATCACTGGTCTAGTGCGGGGGTGGGGGGGGCGGCACTAGATGTATGGAAAGTGTGCACTATGGCTGCTTTCCTGACTGGAGTGATTTGGGGCCTTTCTGAAGGTCCCTGAGAAGTCACTTATTCAGATCCCACCTATGGCAGGCTAGTGCTGCGAGCTGTGAGGTCCTGGTCAGAAGATCCTGGCCCCCTTACTGACTCAGTGTGTCCTAGTTTCTGCAGCTTGCTGGGTAAGGGCCTAGAATTCCAGAACTCCTAGCAGATGTTCGTACCCCCACAATGAATCTGCACACCCTACCTTAGACCCCCCTCATCTTGTCCGCCACCAGAATACAATTACACCCACTCACCTCCAGTCACTGGCAGGGACAATCACCCACAATGATCCCCACTCCACACTCAGTCATTTCCCCAAATATTTACATACTGTTACAAATGATGTATACAGTAAAATATACATCTCACACACAATTACATTTACACAATTACAGATGATACACAAACATTCACACATTTAACACAGAAACAGATTCACAAGGAGAAACTAATATGTACTCTCACAAACATTAACACATGATTCATACACAATCACCGGTGGGTAATCATACAATTATCTCTCAAAGCACAGCTCCATTTAAACGTAGTTACACACACACACACACACCACACACACACACACACACACACAACCTCACACTCAGTGTATAATTATAGTTTCAATTTGTAACTTAAGCAGAAAGAAGCACACACAATAACTGCGAACTCAAAAAAATAAAATAATTGCAAACACAATTACTATTACAAATCAGTGATATTCTGATTGCCCACGCCATTCAGAATGCACACACGCGAACACACACACACACACACACCTCACACTCCAAGACACGGCATCCTCTTGAGCACTAGCTGTCCCGGGAAAGCCTTTCTCTCCCTCCTTACCTCAGCTCTGCCTTCTCTCTGTCTGTCCCCCTTCTTCCTTCCTCTCCCCAGAGCCTGCAGGTCCCGGCCCCCAGCTATCCCTCAAGCACAGGCTCCAGAGCTGCCCAGCTAACGCCAAACCCAAGTAGCCGCAGGGTGTTGGGCTCAGCAAGGAGCAGGCAGCCCTAACTCCGGATCTGGAGGGTTTTATTATTTTTTTCACATAAATTACACAAGCACTTTATAAAATGGTTGCACAGAAAACACCTTATAAGTGCATAACTTAAACCCCCCCCCTATGAACAGGATCTGGAGAAACAGGCTGCGTGTGTGTGAAAGCCTGCCTGTGAGTACCTGGGTGGGGCGAGGACGTGTGATGGAGGTCGGGCGGGCCAAGTGGCACTGTTACCGCTGTTGTGTGTGGAACAGTGTCTCACAGTGTGGCCACAGCCTCGTGCTTATGAGAAGTGCCATGCTGCTCAGAGTAAGTCTAGGTCAACCTGGCCTAGGACAGATAGTGAGAATCAAAGGTAAGAAGGCTCTGGTCCCGTGTGTGCGGGACATTCTGCCCTAGGTCCCCTGTGTGTGATCTGGGGTGACACCAAGAGGGAGGGTGGAATCACCTCTGTGTGGGCCTGTGGTGTCCTCATCTCTGTGTCTGCCTGTGTGTGTCGTATGTGATGGTATGTGATGAGGAGTGGGATACAGAGAGAAGGTTCCGAGGATAGCCCGTGCTGTCCTCTGGGGACCCCAGAAGCTCTTCTTCTCCCCCTTCCCCCCTCTCTCTCAGTCCCACGTTAAAAATCAGATTAAAATAAAATAGATGCAAACTGAGGCGACTCTCAACAGTTTTAGCGGGGCGCAGGACCGCGTGGGAGTCAGGGCGTGGGTCGAGGGTCCCTGTGCTCTGCACTCCTTTCTTCTTTTCCACGGAAGAGAGCGCAGTTTCGGCAAGCAGGCAGGCCCCCCGTGGAGGGGCGTGCTCCCCTCCGTGGGCAGTCCGAGGCCGGGAGGGTGGGAGAGAGTCCTGGCTCTCAGGCCTCAGCGTTGACCCCTTGGCTGGGCCGGGGTCTGAGGGGTGGGCTGGGCAGGCTCACTCGCAGGCCGAGGCCACAGACGTGACGCTGGTGATCTTGGTCGAGTCGTCAGACCAGGGCTGCAGGTTCTGCAGGGCGAAGAGCGACGAGTTGTGAACGCAGAGCGGGTCCGCGGGCAGCGGCTGCGCCAGGCTCTTCTGGAAGGCCTCTTGCTGCAGCTGCAGGAGGATGCGGTTCGCCTGCTGCCTCTCGGCCTCGCGCTCCTCCGCGGTCTGCCGCCTGCACGGGGACAAGCTGTTACCCACGCTCCCAGCGATCCGGGGAGACCTGAGCGCGCACGGGCACTGCTGCCTTGGCAGCACCCAGCTCCAGCGTGGGTCCCTCTACGCACCCCCTTATAACTTGAAGATCCCGACTCCCACAAAGACTGGTAACCCCAAAAGTAGATGGAACCGAGCTGTAGCAGGGAAGCTGTGGGAAAGTCCGCTAGGCAAGGAGCTGGGGCTCCCTGTCCACGCGCAGCGCCCACACAACAGCCTCGAAGGGCTCAGCCAAGAATAAAATGGCATCTTGCCTGCCCCCCAACCCCCAGGAAGACCAGACACCCCCGTCCGGATCCTGAAGGGCCTCGCCTTCCCCACCAGTCCAGGAGGAGGCAAGGGCTGCGGATGCGAGCTGTCCTGCGCGACCTCTTCTCCCCCTTTTCTCTGCGGACGTGTCCCAGGCCCGGACCTCCTGCGCCTAGCCCTGTGCCCTGCGCCTGCCGGGCCAGCCGGCTTCCTCCGCAGCGTCCAGGGAGGCGATGACTCACTCCATTTAATGCCTCCCCTCCACCCCGTCAACTGAGATCAAACGTCTGTCTCTAAGGTGGACAGACCTAATGGGAGTCCCCGGGGCCTCCAGAAGCAATTTGTAGGCGATCGATGAAGCCGCGAGAAGCCAGCGAGGGCCTCTCCGCGCGACGGACGCCGGCCGGCCTCCCGCGGCCTCTTCTTGCTTTTCCTCGGTGTCTCTGGCTCTCTCCTTCCCCCTTCTTTCCTGCACTTTCAACTGTTCGACTGATTCTCTTCCTGCGGGCTTTTGTCTCTATCTCTTGTTTTCTTTCATCCCTGCCCCTGCCCCGTTGGCTTTCTCAAGATTAAGGGAATTTGTTTGAAACGAAAATGGAGGTTTTTCTCATCCAGTACTTTTCTTTTTCGTACCTAAGGCTTCATTAGGCTGCCTGGTTTCCTTTTCTGCCTGGGTGGGGTCTCTAGCTTGCCCCCCCCCTTTGCGTTTTGGTTTCTCGGTTGCCTGTCACTCTTTATCTGTCCCCCACCTGGGGGAGGGTCTTCCCTGGCTCCCTCCCCTCCCCTGGCTACAGCCCTGAGTGGGCCCCGAGAATACCGGTGTACCCCTCCCCAGCTAGCCTCGCTCCCTCTTCAGCTAGCTTTCCAGAGGTCTGAAGCTGATGC